GTGTTCAGTGGTGGCAATTGGCTCCACAGGATTTTGGGATTTTTAGCTTTCTTTCTCTCTATACAATTTTTTTTTTCATCCGTGGATTGGATCGTCATGAATTCCATCATCAGAATCACTTCCCCACAAAAGAATAGGCTTAATCATTGGTGATCCACTGTAATCCTACCATAATTTCCAAAACTTGTATGTTACACGTCAAACAATCTTCTTAGGGAGGTGATTCCTTCTTTCATCTATTCCTCTTATTGGTGTATAATAAGATGGGACAGGCTCTATGAATTTAAACAACTGTATTTTCATGAGAGAAAAAGGGATATTCTAAGGATTTGGAACTACAAAACTACAAATATGGTAAAACCAACAGTAACTAATAGTTTAAAATCAGGTTGCTTTTGAGGAGAGTTCAATAGTTTGAGTAGATGCCAAGGATGGAGGGCATTAACTTGTTCATGGTTCTCAGATTATGTTTATGTCAGTGCTCATGGAAAATGTCCAAGAAAAATTAAATAAACAAAGGTATTCCATCTCTAACAATTTAAATGTTGGATGATGTTGTTTAACATTATATGATATTAAAGCCGGCAAAGATCAGGAGGTCAAGTCTTATGGTTGTTCATTTATGAAAAGAAGAATCCATTTTTCAGTCCTGCCCCCAATGGATTTGATCTCTGGTTCCGCCACCTCATATGGTCACTGTGTGGTGCTTGTGAGAGGGAAAATAAATAAATAAATAAAAATAAAAAATTGGAAGTAATGATAGCTCAATTCAAAGATTAAAAATTTGCAGCACTCGAATGTTTGAAAATATGCAATCAGGTAACGAGGTATTTTACCTTTATGAGGTGAGCTGCAAGTCTTGAGGCATAAGCCTCGAGAAAAACTAATATAATAATTCAAAAGTATATAACATAAAAATATGCTCATAATAAACCATAAATTGTCTAATACGATATTAATTATAAATAAAATAATAAAATTAAAAGTCTAACTTGCAAACAAGCGAGAAGAAATGAAAATAAAAAACCCATGAAAAGTCTAGGCCATAAAAAATAGAAAAATTGAGGCCAGGAATAAAAACCTTAGAAAAGGAAAGACTGACGAGCACATATAACTGCCATGATGCGTAAGCCTCAAAACATGGCACTTAAGAAATAAGATTTGAGGCATTTAGTGAAAGCCTCACGTGAGGCAGACATCAAGGAGTCAGCCTCAAACAGTTTTTTAAAACAATGGATGCACACTAATGGGACTCTTGAATATCCTAAGATTGGTGAGAACGGGCATTGAGCATTTGAATAAACATTTTATCTGAATAAGATGCACCATCCCTCAGCACCTTAAACAATATGGCAATACTCATTATATAGAAAAAATCAGTTGACGTGTTAAATAGTTTAAGATATACATTGCTGTTTGCTGGCAATAATCATTATATAGAAAAAATCAGTTGACATGAAATAGTTTAAGATATACATTGCTTGTTTCAGCAAACAGCAATGTGAATACTGCCAAGTGTTTTTTCATTTCATTTTATCTTACTTTATTTTATTTTTTGGGGGGATCGAAAGAAATGATAGATACAACAAAACAAATGAAGAGATGTCATTATTGGTTTTGCAAACTGAACTGGTTTATGATTAAAAGAGTGCAAAAACATCGAGCTAAGCAGCATATTTAACCATGTATAATACTTCAAATTCAGTGTGTTCAACAAGATACTAAACTTGATACAGGAATACTTACCTTGAAAGGGAGTGGCAATGGTAATCCACTTGTTTACATATTGGGAGAACACCTACATAGAAGGGATTAAATCAGTGGTCAAGCCTCCAGTCGCAATCAATAAAGTATGATGATTAAAGGAGTCAAATTGCTTGAACATATATTATGACATCACAAGAAAATTAAACATTTGCAAGCAAACGAAATTCAAAATCAAATATGTATAACTACACACAATCTCTTCTTCAAGCTTCAAAATTAGGACTTCATATGCTCTAATCTTTTTAGGCAAACAATTACGCTGTTATCATTTATGATTTAGGAGGAAATCATGATATCTATGTCCACAATTTCAAGCTTGTTACTTATGTGTACTAATAAATTACCCTGATAAAATGATAATTACTCACAAACTAGTAAAATAATGAGTGTCCAGTGAAAATTACATTTAAAGAAGCTAAAATGCCAGTCAAGACGAGAACTTAGGCTTATAACCGCGGTTTCAAAATTACCCTGATTCACAAATTAACAAACGTGAATTGGATAGAGATTTAAATTTCTCGTTAGCCCACATTGAATTTTATAGGCAAAAAATATATATATTGTCTTTGAACAACAACATGTATATTTTATTTTGGACTTAAAAATTAAAATCAGGTGAATGTAAATAACAGGACTGTGGAAAAATACATCAGCATCATCCCTAATAATAAACTACTAAGTGAACCAGTATGATTAATTCTCAGGGACCAGATTTTATTTTTAATTGAGGGTAAGACTTAAATCGGATTAGAAACAATCTGAGTTCATGATTCAGAAAGTCGCTAATGAACTTAGACATACATCACTACGAAGAGATATAAAGCATGACACCAGCAATCCACCCATCGAGTGTGAAATTATGTTGACTTTCCTTCCCCCAGAACCTTTATATGCAGCCTTCAACTTTTCTTGTAGGCCATCCATTGCCTTGTCGATTCTGCAATCATTCAATAAATAAGTAGTCTCAAAAGATTTAAAAACTGAGTTTAGAGAACTCAAAACATTTTAAAGCGAGTTGGTCGCCTACGGATACACTAATCAATAAGCAAAAAAAAAATCAGCGTATAATGATAGGAAATTTTTGTCATGAGAAATTACTACCTATTGCTTTGTCGAAAATCATAACCATATCCGAACAGTGTGGTGCCCTTCTTATACCCACATCCAACTAGCATATCAATCATATAATGAAAATGGTAACAATCGGTCAACTGCATACACTTTACCAACTGCAACATCAAGAATAATAAATATAAACGACAACTCTCTCAGAGGAAGGAAATTAAAGACTCCAATGCGCAGAGAGAGAAAAATGTGTGTTAGCTGAGGATAGTATATTTTATATTTCCGGTCAAGCTTAAGAGAATCAATCATCAAGCAAGCAAAAATATTGGTGGTCAGACTTCTCTCACCATATAGTAGATAATTTCAGATGACAAATTCTCAAGCTACATGGTACATAATTTCAGAAGAAACTAAATTCTTTTGGTCTCCAGATGAGAAAAGATTATTTTTAATGCCATTTTATGAGAAAATATAGGAGACTTCCATAGGCAGTCAACTGTGAAGTAATGGTACCAAAATATACTACTATTCTACATGGAGATCTAACTGAATGCTTATCACAGAAACATCAATCCAGCTATAGGTCAACAAATTAAGCCTTATTCCCAATTAATTTTAAGGTCATCTATATGAATCCTTCCGTTCAATCCAACTATACAACTTCCATGCTATCATTATCAGCCAAGCATATCTGTATACAAATGGGACAAAATTAAAACTCAAAATAGATATATGGGAACTAAGTTGCACGGACATGACACAGTATGGATCGGAGACACGTAATTTTTAAACAAGTAGGACAACACATCGGTGACAGGTTGAATGTAATTCCTTAAAATTTTAAATCTATACGTTGTGTCTATTTATATTCTTTTTAAATATAAGGTACAACGCATGCCATGAACAATTGTGCGAAGAATTTCCTTGAAGTATCCCTCGAGCATTAGAATTTATACATAATAAATAGAATACACAATGTGACTTGTCGGACCAGTGTCATAGTGTATGAGCAGTGTCGGTGTCTGACACAACGTGATATGTGTCGGATATGGGCGTCCTAGTAGGAGTGTCCGTACATCATATTATAGAAAGCACATCCCAGTCAAAACGATGAGCAAGTCTTGTTTTTTGATTACATGGACGTTGGGAACTAACAAATGCTCTTTAATATTTTAGGTTGTAAAAACATGTTATTTACAAAATAAAGGAAGTAGAGATCATGCATAGTTTCTGATGGGAGTCGAACCACCCCCACCCCCCAGCTAGCCCTTAGCCTTTGGTTTATTTTATTCTTTTGTCTTTTGTTTTGAATTATCTCGTTGCATTTTAGGTTAATAAATCGAATTATGTCCTACAATTAGATTCCCTATTTAAACACTTCATGTGTTCATTGGTTTTCGTTGATTAATAAAACTCGAGAGCTTTCCTCATTTTTCTTGTTGAACTTTCAATATTCTTTAGAAGAATTAATGAATTTTTGATGCAATAACATCTTCATATTCGCAAAATCAACAATCATTGCAGTTCTTTGAATCTTTTCTTGCTTTGCTTTTGTTGCATCAGTTTCGTATCAGCACAGATCTAGATCCTCATCACAGTGCTGCCAAGGAAACATAATGTTCAAGATGATGCTATGAATGACATGGAAAGGAGAGACCAGATTTCAAAACTGCACTGACTAATGGACTTGTTGACACAACACTTGGACAATTTGGCACAGTTATACCACGAAGGTTCAACATTTGGAGGAGATACGAAGAACAAGGAAAGCAAAAGGATGACACATTCTCTTCCTTCATCCGCATGGATGATGAACCCACGACACACTAAAGGCTCCGGATGGAAACAAAGACGGGAACATGTTGGGATACTGGATTCAAACTTGATATCCCAAAATTTCACAGAGGAATCAACCAAAATAGTTTCTTGATTGGCTCTACGTAGTGGCCGTGGAGTCGAAGACGATAACCTTTTTACCTCTTTCAATTTAGAGAAGTGAATGGGTGTTGATTCAAAAAAGAAGATCAAAATAGCCCGCTTAAAATTGACACTAGGGTCGATGAAGAGTTGAAGAATTTCAGTAAAAAGCATTTTATTTCCTTACCACTTTTGTGTATAAATATCGATACATTGTACATTGTCAATACCGAGAAAAAAAACAAATTTCATTCCTCAATTGATTGTGAGAATATGGTATCAGAACCTATTACTAGATTCCAGAGCTCAAAATCATCTTGTAGGCCTGATATGCATCCTAATGCCAGATTCTATGGCTCAGAAATCATCCGCTTGGAATCAGCACATAAGATGAGTTGTAGGCACCAGTAGAAGCAGATGTGTCCTGCACGCGACCATCGCTCTACCCAACAAATCCAGCTCTGCTTTATTCACATTAAGAGTGTGTTTGGTAGGGATTTTTGGGGGAAGAATTGATTTTTGAATAGTGATATGATGGGAAATGTGTGGTTGAAAAATAAGAAAAAAGTATTGATGTGATGAAAAATATTATTTTATTGAAGAACGTGTGGTTGAAAATAAGAATTGATTTACTATAGAAAATGAGATTCTGTACCCAACAGGCGCCAAATCTCTATTCACCATCTATAAGCCAACATGGCTCAAATCTATTGTGTTAATTACATTATCTATACACACATCATGTTTTCCCCCAACATAAACCTCTATTCTCCACGTCATTCAAAATTTAAACACTCATGTTCCCCCAAAAAAAAAAAAAATTAAATAAATAAATTCCCGGAAACAAGTTAAAAAAGAAAATCAAGAAAGGAAGCAGCTGAACGAATTCGTGCAAACACCAGTGCACACCCAGAAGCAATTATGGGTGCAGAAAAAAGAAAAATAGCAAAAAGCTTACTGGAGAAGGGTCCAAAATATCAATGGCATAGAGCCCATAATCATCTTGAGGCACTACTATTTCACTATTATCATCTAATACCTCCGTGTAACCTGAAGAAAGAAAAGAAAAGCAAAAATGAAGTTAATTTTTGTTAAATAAATATAGAAAAATCAAATTTGAAAACTTACAGAAACTCTCACACCACATAAACCTGTTTTAGGATTGTAGAGGGAGAAAAGCTTCTTCTTGAACTCCAAATCAGCTAGGAAGATCCGAACCCACACCCGGGTCTCGCCTCCGACTTTCTTCTTACTCTTGGAATTGAGAATCGACCCAGCCATCCCCGATACAAGGAGGACCGGGTCACGGTCGGCAACATCACCTGAGTCGGAGCTCCGAGTTCCAGAGTTAAAGCACCAGAAGTCCCGGAACATCGTGGAAATAGACCGTACAGAGTGTATCGGGTTCGGGTCTTCCAATGAATACGGGTATGATACGGAGGCTTTATGAAGAAACCCGTAGAAGTGGACAATCTTGTTATACAGACTTAGTACTGGAAATTGCAAGTGTGGCATGCAATTTATTTTGACTGGTACACATCATCAAATTGTGAATTTTGAAATTATCCAATTAGTTTTTTTTTTTTATGTTTAAAATTTGCATTTTTTAAAAGATAAGTTATGAGTTACCATGGAAAACAAAGTTTTATAAAATCCGAATAAAATCAAGATTTTAATTTCAGTTGAAATCAACAAAAAATATCAGCCACATATTTCATCATTTTTTTTTATCGAAATCTACTACAATACGGTTTTAATCTCCACCAAAACAAGTGCTAAATAAAATATGAATGATTATTATATTTTTTTCCTTCAAGCGGTGGATTTTTTTTAATGAAAAGATTTATTTTTCGAAAAAAACGGTTGGTTGTATGTTAACAACGAGTATGCGTGGGTGTTTGGCCCCCATTTTTTTTAGGAAGAAATAATTTTTGAATAGTGATTGATTGGAAAATGTGTGGTGGAAAAGTAATGAAAATTTTTAGATTTGTATGTAATATTATTTTATTTGGAGAATGCGTGGTAGAAAATGAATACTGTAGAAAAATGAATGGGGCTCAAACATGGTCAAATTACCTCATTTCGAGTCGACTATGGTGGAAAGTCAAAAGACAATACGAGAATGGAAAGTAGTGTAAAACGTGTTGGATTATGAATCGGTTATCCCATATATTCATCTATTTTACTTGAGATGGTTCAATTTTTTTTATCTTTTTTCATTTTTTGCTTTTCTTTTGATAGTATTCAAATTGACCAAATTTGACTTCCACAATAACAATATGCCTATGTTTGGCGCACATTATTTAGTCAAGAATGCTTTTTTTTTATGTGATGGAGAATATGTGATTGAAAAAGAAGGAAAAGCTATTGATGTTGTGGAAAATATTATTTGATTGAAGAATACATTTTGAAAAAGAATAAAAGAATGAGAATGAAAAAATATTGTGGCTCAAATAATTTATCACAAGCAAGATAACTTTTCACGAAAAAAGAACATTAACAATTCTAATTCAAAGAAGACATGGAGGTTGTAAATATATTCAAATCACATTTTTAAATAAACGCACCACATTCTAATTGCATGAAAGGTTCATAATCTTTATTCATTAATAGATTTATGTCAACTCTTTTTACTGCATTCTTAGTCTCAAATTAATAAGGTTTGTCCTTAATGACGGTTTCAATCAAAAGATTTCTTTAAAAATAAGTAGAAAGATTTATCTGTCATTGTATTTTTAAATAAGCCAAAAAAAATAAATATAAAACTACGGTGAGATATTTGTTCGGCATTTTAAAACATGTTCAATAGTATTTTGTACGAAAAATCGTGATTAAGTACAATATTTACCAATTAAAAGAGGGTTAAAAATAAAAATGTAATAAAAGAAAAGTTAAGCATATAATCATGATAGTTAATAAAGATTAAGAATATTTTTTTAATTTAATTAATACGTGATGTATTTATAAAAAAAATGGTGTGATAGCGTGTTTTTTTCTCAAAGTATTAACAAGAAAACTTGAAAGTTTTTATATCGGGGAATAATTGCAATTTGTGAAAAAAGTTCAGATCGTGAAAACCATGAATGAAATGGGACACTAACATGACCCCGTTTTTCTTTCACCCATGACCCATTTATGCAGCATATTTTGTCGCCACATTTTGGGTGGGGCTGGTACGTTGGAGATGCTATTATGGTATTTTTCACAATTAAAAAGTGGGTAATTATTAACACAAAACATCCTCGTCATTTATACTCAAATCATCTCTATCATTGCACCTTTATTTTAATTTTTTTTCTTGTAGAGTTAGGCATTTCTGTCTCATTTCGTCCAATATGGGTAATTGATATCATTTGTTTTCGTTGCGCAACTCGCACCTATCATTTCAATTTTGATATTTGAGTCGTCAATCGATCTTTCTTTTTGCAAAAGATTATTGCCGTCTATTTTCTCCGTTAAAACACTGTAAAATGATTATTTTATCTTCGTCTTTAAATAAACAAATGAAAAAGAAAGAAAGAATGCAAAAAAAAAAATGTAGGTAGAGTTTCAACATATCCCTACCCACCACCACCAAAATAATAAAAAATAGAAAAAAAAAATTAAAAATGATTCTTATTCCCCATCCAACTCTGCACTATGCCACCAATCACCACAACCCATTCTCCCCATCCCACTGCAGCACCATGAGATTTAGCTATTTTTCCATAATCAAGTTTCGTGCTTTAATATTTTTTTGTTTTCAGCGATGTTACAAATTTTTTTTTTTGGAGCTATTTTCAATAAATTTTCGTTTTTATCTTCTTGTTACTGATTATATACACATATACCCACTGCATGGGATTTTGAATTTAGCTCTGATTTTATTCAAGTTTTATTCCGAGGGTGTCTGGGCGCGATTTTGACAATGAAAAATCAATTTTTGGGTCAAATCAGACTGGCCATTTTTTGAAGCTTTGCACGTGTTTTCTGGAAATGGGGAAAAAAATAAGGACCATTTTGAGATTAAAAAATTGAAATAAACACTTGCAACCTTTGACAAGTGAAAATGGGAAGGGTAAATTTGGTAATGGAAGTGTCAGTGGGCTGAATTGGTACTGGAGAGTGTCTGAATTTTTCAATTAAAAAATTGTACAACGGCTCCTTTTTTTATTACCAACGGTCTGAATTGCAATACTAATTCCGCCCAGATAATATGAAAACACAACCTACATGATGGCTTAACGCTGCCTATGTGAAGGCGTTAATATGACATTAAGGCTGTGTCTGGGCGCAATGAAATAGACCAAAAAAATTGATTTTCCTGCAGTTGAACTTCAGTCCAACCGCAACCTTTGACCGGCTATCTCACGTTGAGGGCCCCACTAACGGTCACAATTTGGATTATAATTTGGGCAAAATCAGCCCCAAACAAGCTGTCCCTCATAAAATGTTGTGTGAAAATGGATTTTTTTTCTTCCAGTAGAGGTTCACTTGTAATACAAATGTCAAACCTAGAAATTTGATCAAAAATTTCAAGCTGATAAAATCATCTCATTCTCATTCTCCTTTTTTTCTCTTTCTCCATTTCAACCACACATTCTCCCAATAAAATAAAATTACACACAAATCTAAAACTTTTCATAAATTTTCCACCACACATTCCCCCATCAATCACTATTTCAAAAATTCTATTCTCCAAAAAATGGGTGTCAAACACACTCTAAATCTGAAATTGATACAAATTTAAGCGGTGGACTTTGGACCCCTCTAAACATTTGACGTAAATCAACGAAGGGAAAAAAAAAATCATAAATCGGGCTTTAAGTCCCTGTTTGACACCAATTTTCTTCCCATTCTCATTTTTTTTCTCTTTCTTCATTTCAACTACGCATTCTATCAATAAAATAATATTATACATAAACTTAAAAATTCTCATTACTTTTTAATCACACATTCTTTTATCAATCACCATTCCATAATATATTTTTCTCCAAAATGAGTGTCGAACAGGGGCTAAGTTTTCACAAATGCAAAAAATCAGGTTTTAAGTTTAAAAATGTAAAAATCAGGTATTTATTTATTAATTAATTATATTTTTATTAATTAAATATAATAATATATAATTAATGGTCACATATACATATTTATAGGTCACAACTTTTATTGGTCAGATATTATTAAATTAATCGGTTACGGATTATTTTGATATCACAAATCAAAAATTTTGTAGGTCACAGTTTATTTCGTTGGTCATAGATCAAAAATTTATATGTCATAGTTTAATTATCGGTCACATGTTTTCAATTTTTTGCTCACAAATTATCAAATTTTAAGGTAACGACTTAACAGTTAGTCATAGAGAATCAAATATTTGGTCACATACACCAAAAAACCAACCCCGATCCCGATCCACCACCAATACTTGGTCACAAATCAACCAAATAGTTCTCATAAACACTCTTCATCCCGTTGCCACCGCTACAATCACCACCACCACCAACAATAACAATACAACACCACGATCTTAACATCACCAATATCACCACCAACATAAAACCAAATATGAACCTACCAACCCACCACACGCCACATCTGCTCCACAATTGGTCAAACACCATACACCGACAATGCCGCAACACGCAGCCAATCCTACTGCACCCACAACACACACACACCACCACCAACCAGATCTGAACCCACCACACACCACATCTGCACCACAACTGGTCAAACACCACTACAACCAGCATCAACACTACCACCACACCCCGACGCAACACCATCACTACAACTCCACTCCGCAGTGCACACACACACACTTACCCACCACCCGTCACGAGGGAGAGAGAAAGAGAAAGAAGGGAGGAGACGAGGGGGAAGAAGTAATGAATTGATAAAATTAGGATTATTAATATTATGTTTAATAATATTATTATATTAATTAAAATAAAACATTATTACCTAATTTTTGAAAATCAATCTTTAAACACCTGGATTGTGTAATTTCCTTATCAACAAATACATCCAAATCCATTTATATAACTTTCATGCATATACTAAGAGAGAAAAACAGGACATGGAGAATAAGAAAGATGAAATCATCATCAACCTTAAGTTATATGCAAAAGATCTCATCTTGGTGAGTGTTTAAACGAGAGTTGGTGTCTGTTATCATAGTGGCCAAGGAGGACGCATCAAAAGAAATTGCAATTCTATTACAGGAGAGTGGCTTATCACAGAGGATATTTCCCAAGTATAGTGTTGATAACACAAGATAGAAACAGATCCGAGGAAATACTTTGGCTAATAAAGTAGATACACACAGTACGATCGAGTCTAATATTACAGGTAGTGACGATGTTAAACCAAAGGGACAGGAAAGACATCTAAAG